GTAACGTGACGTAACTTCACTTATGCCATTCTTCCATGAGGGGTGCGTATTATAGTCAAGTATTAAAAGTCACATTTAAGTCAGCTATGCCCTTCATACACAGTAATACTTTTTAGGCTTTTTTCTACAAGTAAAATGAGAAAACTAAAGGTTTCTTTGAAATGGCTAATTAAAATACAATTAAAATTTCTGTATAAGTTCTGTATATACATGTATTTAACATAAATAAACAACTTAATATCAAAAATATGTCTGAATGTTAAATACTTATGCCCTTATTCCTTCTGAGAGCAGTATAATGTGTTACACTACAAAAAAAGCGCAAAGTTACAAGTTCGCACTGGGAGTATATTGCCATTTATTTTCGCCATTAACAGACAATTGCTTAATTTTATTTTCTTTCATCAATTTAGTTAAATGATGATTAACATTATATGCTGCGGCGGGCCACAAATGTTCTGGTGTTTCTGTGTATATTATTTTTACTAAATCCATTTCTGTAAGCGGCTTCTCGGAGTTGTTCTTTAATGTTTCTAATATTTGTTGCTCGCGTTGATTCCTATGCGATATGTAGTATTCAATCTTCGGTATTGGATCCTGAAATATAAGAAATTTTGCCAATGTTTTTAATCAAACCACAACAATAACAAAACTAACTGTTACAGAGTTCAGTAAACATTGAATATTTTTCCTATAAGTAACCATTTTAATAAATTTAGTTTTATTTTTAAATCAATAAAATAGAGTGTACCTTAACAACATTTCCATGCCCTGGATAAATAACTCGAGGTTTTAATTCTAATATCCTATTCAAACTTTTCATATATGTAAATAAGTCTTCAAAGACTGCTGTACCCTCTCCCAAAATGCAGTCACCACTGAACAGTATATTATCTTCCAGTAAAGTCAAAATTACATGATCAGTTGTATGACCTGGTGTATGATAAATTTTTACTGTAGCCCCTTCAACTTTGATTTCTTGACCATCCTTGAGCCAATTTAGAGGAATAGATGATGGTAACTGAGTATCAGGTTCGTCGTCACTACTTCTTTTATGTTTCCATATTTTTGGTTGTTCTGAAAATGTACTTGATATTTAATAAAAAAGCACTGTTCACTATCACGAAACTTGTGTAGAAAACGGCAGGACTAATATAAATTATCACTTAAAGTATCAGAAATAACATAACTACATAAAGTAATAAAATAAATACCTACATTCATTGATGAGTTTGGGAGTTCTGCAACATAGTTTAAAGATGAATCTAAAATTATTTACTAGAATGTGTATTTAACATTGAAACTTTAAAGTAATTGTTACCATGCCGGACTTCCACTCTTTTTTTTAGTTCCTGGTTCGATTATCGGGCCGGGAGAAATATTTGTATGGCCTACATTTATTTATCCTGTGAGTTTGAGTGTAATTTGTGGTTGTCTATGTGTGTCCATTGCATCCGCGACACAAGGTTTCCCTAGGCTGAGTGTGATTATTATTAAACTTAAGTTAAAAGTGTTTTTTTTTTTAAATCATGGCAAATAGGAAACTTGCAAACTTTAGGCCAGGAAAAAAATCTCAATTTATGCAAATAATCTTACTCTTAGCATGCTTCCTTAGACAAACCTGATGTTTATACTTACTAGCAATACTCCCATAGAGGTTTGCAACACCACCAACATGATCGTGATGCCAATGTGTCAATACAATATGTTCTATGTTCACCCGCTCTGCATTCACAACATCTTCCAGGTACTTCTGGTACTCTGGTACATCTTTATCTCCTGTATCTAGAAGTATACGACTGGGAATTCAAAACAATAAGGGTTAGAAAAACAGCTTTCGTCTTTTTTATGAAATTGTAAGCTGTAATGTGTGTTAGAACCTGTATCTTTAGATAGAATATCTAAATAAACAAAATTTATCTTTGTTCAGGCTACAAATAGCCAAACAATGTAAGTATTTACACACTACAGTCAACAGCAGGATGGACTTCGCCTCTTATTATAAGACGGTCTAAAGTCCAAACATGTATTGCATAAAACTGGATTTTAATTTTAATTACAAAAGATTTCTGCTTTTATTTACACATCAATTACAAGTTAATAGAGTGAGAAGCAGCATATATACCAGAAACAAATGTAGGTTTGTCAGGAGCATAGCAGGTGGAGGTCCATACTATCTGTCTACCCCAGTGGGAGACAGGCGTGATGACATGTATGTAAATGCAGAAGACCCGTTCACAATTGGCATTATACTTATGAACATTATACGTAGGTACTTTATCCACAAGAAAAACAAACATCTTGTACTTACTTTGTTCCAGTTCCAATAAGATATGTATTTGTGCCCTGAAGAGTCATAGGACCAGGGTTGCATCCTAAAATCCTTATAACCCTACTCGACAATTTCGTCACTGCTGGTATTACTGCCGCCATTATTTCACTTTAGACTAGGATCGTAAGACTATATAACGATACTCGGTAACACGCAGTTTTTATATCATCAGAGATAACTTATTTTGATAAATGGTCTTGAGCGTCCTAATAAAAATATCGGTGTAAAGTTCTATTACTTTAGTACGTCAATATATTTATTTTTTGTCGCAGAAAATACTATCAGCTGTGATCTTTGACAGCTGTCATAAACACAAACTAGTAGGATGGTCATAAAATGATAAAATGATTATGACCATCATTGACTTACAATTATAATGACCATCCATATAATGCAATAAAATGTGACAAATTAATTCTTTTTTTTTTCCATCCTCTAATTTCTAAGACTCTAAGTTATATACTCGATGTTCGATCGTGACGGACGGGGAATTTAAAGAGTATAAACTTATTATAATCCATACTGTTATTAATTATCGTTTTCTATTAGAAAAACATGTTGTGTACGATTTTTTCTACATAATTCGTGGTACGACGATGTAGGTATCCTTATTTACGCTTCTTACTCGTGGACCACCTATCTCGTTGCCTCGATGCACCACGGGCAATTTTATTTTTTTTCTCGTAGTTCACCGCCTCAATCGACTTTATTTTATTTTTTTAAGTAAGAGTTACGTTACACAGATTTTAAATATTCTTTTTAAGCAGTTTTAAGTAGAAAAACATTTTGACGTGATCTTATGGTTTTGACTTTCTGTCTTAGTAATGTAACGACTATAATATTTATTGTATTTTTTTTGTGATTTTTTTAAACAATAATTATTTTATGCGAGTACATAACACAGATAAAAAAGAAATTCTACGTATAATGTATTTCACACCTTCAAAATTGCTATTCTACAATATTCTCTTAAATATGTCGTAATTATAATCTTGATTATTTATTATATACGTTTTATTTCAGAAATGTATAATAACTAATTCAAAATCACATGAATAAATAATATAAACTGCTTAACTTCTGGAGTTTCGCAACAATCAACGATTTTCATTCTATTTTTTATTCTTGTAAGCAACTAGACAAACACTATGTGCCTAGTGTGGTATCACTTAATGTGGTTGTGATTGTGACATTTGTGACATTTCGAATTACGAGAAAAATGGCTGGAGCGCTGGCTAGGGTTGTTCAGGGGGTAAAATCCCAAACAGGTCAGTAAAATGTATCAAATAATATTCTAGAACCGTTTGAATATGTACTGAAGTTTCCATAACATAACTTTAAAGTTACTGCATTTGTTATTGTTTTATGCGCACTAAGAGCCTTACATAATTTTGACGTTTTTCAGGTATTGTAGGGCCGTTGTCGATAGTCAACAATGTCTCCGTGCGGTACAATCAGACTCCGGCAAGGACGCAGTTCGGACCATTGGCGGATCAAGATCGCATATTTACGAATCTGTATGGTCGACATGATTGGCGACTCAAAGGTGCCATATGCCGTGGAGATTGGTATATGACCAAGGAAATTCTCTTGAAGGGCCCTGAATGGATCGTTAGTGAGTACTCACGTGTTACCAAAATTGCTATAAAGTTAATTTCTATTATAAGTGCCAATGTATGCAATACAATCTGAGTTATTTACAAATCAAAATTTATGAGTTTATGAGGCATTTTCAACAAGCTGATTATATTATTATAAATGGTCGAAACAATTGCTGTTTATATTGGTACAGATTTAGTTTACCAATTACAGATTTGGTTGGACGGACAGAATGGGCCACCATTTAACTAGGGCAGAATTTTTGCCCTAGGGCTAGGATAGTTTGAACCAAAATTAACACTTTTTATTCTTATAAATTTTCCACTACGGCCAATAGACTTTAATTAACTACAAATAAAGAAAAAAAAAATATTTTGTAGTGTTCCCTTCAGTTCAATCTGACTACAGATTTGTTAATTATGTAGTCATTGACAAAATGAGCTTTCATTATGATGCAAAAAATATTTAAGTCAATGAAATGATTTTTAAGAAAATTGTGAACACATTGGGAAAACAGTTTTTGAAGGCAGTTCTAAAGGAATTGCCATTGCTTATTACTTGAAACCTAAACCTTCAGTTTGCTCTAGTGCTGTTGTATTTTGAAATAAATACATTTAAAAGGGGTTATTTGTCAAAGGCTTAAACCCCTTTAATAATAACAGAATAATATCACCAAGTACCTGCTCTTAGACCAAAGAAATTGCTGCATTATGAGTAATGAATTTTCGTGAGTGAGGAATTTTTGTGAGAGAGTAAGTATCTGAGAGTCTGCATTTTAGTATAATTAGAGCTCCTAGTGAAAGAGTTCATTCAGGGAAGTACTGCCACCTTACCTATTTAGCAGTAATGCTAGCATTACTAAGTTCTGGTTTTGAAGGGTAAGGGTGCTGGTTAATTACAGTCACATGGGAATTGTCAAGTTATGTCTCAGGGTCATGGCCGCATTGGCAGTGCCCCTCAGATCTTTGCGATTTAAAGCGCTGAGTGGCATTGCAACTGTTATTGACAGGCGTCTAGCTAGTGTGTGCCGTCACTTGAAATTATATACAGAAAAATAATGAAATATCAAAGTAAACTTTGAGGGATACTACTTGGAACATCCAGTTTAGCTGGTTCTATTTAGGAAAAAAAATATATTCTTTAAGTTTACCCCTAAATCAGTAACAGAGTAAGCAGCAGTTATATTTGACCTTTGTAATTGCAAAATAATGATTCCTAAAAATATCTTAAAATTTTACACACACCACATTGACTTACAATTATATGGACGTCGGGTCCGCGCTAAAAAGTGTCCGCACTTGTAAGGCGCTAAAATCGTATACAGAGCGCGACACTCCGCTTTAGTCTTCATTTGTTCTACGGACAGCGCAATACTGCGATGACATAACAATTTAAATTTCTAATAGGTTGACTTGGGACATTTTTTTCGTGGTTTTTGTATTAGACCCGTCGTCCATTTATTTGTAAGTCAATGACACACCACATAATAATTGCTGTATAAAATTTGAGTCCATTTTAAAAAAGTAAGTGAATTTTAATTATTTTTCCGTTAGTGTCAACAGCAAATTAAAATGATGTGTAGTTGAAGCTATAGATATATGGAATATATGGAATATATGGAATCAACATTTTATCTCTCATTTTTGTGGAATTCTTTGTAATGAGATTTATTAAACATTTATCCCATTACAAAAATAATTGAATGGGGCAATGTGAGACAACATGCTGAAGACATATAAAGTGTTTTTAGTTATTTAATTTTTGCTACTAAAAATGTACATAGTGTATTGCTCTGAGACATGCCTTAATTTAAAATATTTATTTCTAGATGAGATGAAAACATCCGGAATGCGAGGGCGTGGTGGTGCCGGTTTTCCAACTGGCATGAAGTGGTCATTCATGCAAAAGCCATCTGATGGCCGTCCTAAATACTTAGTCGTCAATGCTGATGAGGGCGAGCCTGGCACATGCAAGGACAGGGAGATCATGCGTCATGACCCTCACAAGTTGGTTGAAGGTTGTCTGGTTGCCGGCCGAGCCATTGGAGCTGTGGCTGCATATATTTACATCAGAGGAGAGTTCTATAATGAAGCCAGTAATTTACAGTTGGCCATTGCTGAAGTAAGATCATTATCAAAGTTTACTTGTTTATTAGAGCTTTAATTAAGAAAGAAGTAGAGAAAGTTACTGGTTATTGATAAAGTTGCATTAGATTACTCGCAATAAGTAGTTTCGTATTTAATATATTAGGCAAACAGCGTACATATGTGACATGACAATAGCATGTGTGACAAAGTATTTGCCTTGTTTGCCTATTCGACAAATATAGCCTTAAAAAAACCGCATGAAAAAATATTTAACACAACACAGCTATTTTGCACGATTTAACCTTAACTGGGTTCAAAATAAATTTACTTCCATTTTTATTAACATGGACTTGCGCAAAGTAATCCCTGAATGTATTAATTAATAGGGTTTCAGTTGAAAACCGAAATTTGGCAGGTTCTCTGTTGTACTTAATTATCTTTATATAAGAATTATGTACAAACTACAACAAATAATTCGTTTTCACTTTTATTTTAGCATGTTTTCAGGATTTTATATGCGCTGATAAAGTATGTCCTTCGTGTAACACATTAGCACATTCTTTAGACAATATCCTTAGGTGTATTGGACATTTTTTTAAAGATTATTATTTTCATTTTATTACCGTTATATATAATTATTACCGTTATTTATTATGTATAATTATGTCCGTCGTGTAACACATTAGCACATTCTTTAGACAATATCCTTAGGTATATTGGACATTTTTTGAAAGATTATTATTTTTATATATTACCGTTATTTATTAGTAAATACCTAAACCATTTGATCTAACAAAACTGTTTTCCCTGCTTCTCCTCCGGTGATTTGCCTTTAGATAAAATTGTATTTAAGTTTTGTTTACACCTTGATAGTTGTTGTTTTTATATTCTTTACAGGCATATCAAGCAGGCCTTCTTGGTAGAAATGCTTGTAATTCCGGCTATGACTTTGACGTGTACGTCCATCGCGGCGCGGGCGCCTACATCTGCGGCGAAGAGACCGCTCTCATCGAGTCCATCGAAGGCAAGCAGGGCAAGCCGCGTCTCAAGCCGCCGTTCCCTGCTGATGTCGGTTTGTTCGGCTGCCCAACTACCGTCAACAATGTTGAGACTATATCTGCAGCACCTGTAAGTTTCCTAGTTTTACAACGTCTTGGAACTTTATATCACCACACTACATGGTCAAGCTTCTTTTATATTTTATACAATAGATGTAAGGTATATACATATGAATATATTTATGACTGCTTTAAACTATAAAAATGTAAGTAAGATCTACTTATTGGTTTGTGATTTTGATATCCAAATGTGGAGGTTTGTAATAGGCTTTTTTTGATATTGTTTAGTTTTGTAGACCATTTCTAACTTATAGCAGTAAACCTTCCTAAAATAAGTAAAATTAAGAAAAAAAATTGCTCGGTTAAATTAGGAGGATAATTTGTGGCCGAGGGTTTTAAGTAATCAACTGAAAGGCTTGATTCATATGATTTATTGTAAAATAGGAATAGGAAGAAAGGTAAATGAAGGCTGCAGTGGCGTGGCGTGAAATTTTCCTTGGTAAAGCCGAAGCTTTAACTTGAGAAAACAAAAAACACTTACTTTAACAAAAATTCTTTTCCCGTTCAAAAGGCGCTTGGCGACATTTAAACACAGCACTTATTAGGACAAAAATACTAGTTCACTTCATTTCACAGGATAACTTATTCTAGACACAAAATAACTGTAGCTTTTAAAGTAATTTTACATTTTAAGCTGCCCGTCGCGATATGAAAGTATGTGAGTAAACAAACACATGAATGCTAAGTGTTGCTATTTTAATTACCTAGGAATTACCATGACCTTCTACATACATTCGTTACGTAGTCCTATTAGAAAGAAACACTCCATTAAATATAGATACATATGTAACATTATTTATCGTTATATTTACAAAATAGAAATTAACCATATGTTGTATTAATTTGCTATTACAATAATTTTGTTACTTTATTTTAAGAAAGTTTTACATCTGCAAAGGATTCTGACATTAAAACAAATTAAACTATAATTTGTTGGAATAAGGGTTAAATTTAAGTGTACGCTATTCGACAATTACTCGAATTACTCCGGCTTCTCGGCCGTCATTTCTTTATATGTAATAAAGCTAATTTTTGCGAATGTGTGCGTATATTTTGATGGGAGTGCGTAGATTTCATGAATGAAATAGATCTCGCCGATCCGCCGGCTTACCTTGCGTTGATTGGTTGAGATGCATCGGGACAAGTTATTACGCGTCTAATAGTGAATATTTTGAATAAATGTTTTTTTAGTAGTGGGGTATGCGCGGTGCAACTGGTAATAGGTACGCGGGAAATTTTAGGCAAGCCGGTGGGAATCAAGTTATATAGACGCCTCGCCACTGGAAGGCTGTATGAATAAATGTATCCAAACAAAATAACGGTATAATGGTACAGATTAGAATTTAGTTACTAAATGGTTAGTGAATGTAGCCCAAAAATTCGTATTATTGCTGCATAAAAGCAATTAGGTTATAGGATTAAGAGCACGCCTGCTCGCCTCGAGGATTTTGTATAGAGAGCAAGAAAAAGAATTAGAGAATGATTCAAAATTTCCAAAGTAGGTGGTCAGAAACCAGAGAGGTAAAAAGGTGGGATGACGATGAAAAGAGGTCGCATCGTCACAAATTGACGCGAAATCTGAGATGATACTAGATTGGAATGGGCTTGAGACAGTTGAAAAAAGCTTTATACCTGTGTCGAATCATGTCTTTTTTCGTCAATTAAGTTCTTTGGACACGAGGCAATAATCGATACGTTTTTAGTTACAATTGTAGGAGACAAATATAAAGGGAGCCGGGTCTCCCTATGTAAGAGGCTTTATGGTTATGTAATAAAATATCAAATAATTACAGACGATAATGCGTCGCGGTGGGGCATGGTTCGCGCAGTTTGGCCGTCCACGTAACACGGGCACCAAGTTGTATAACATCTCTGGACACGTGAACACTCCGTGCACTGTCGAAGAGGAGATGAGCGTGCCGCTCAAAGACCTTATCGAACGGCATGCGGGTGGCGTTACCGGTGGATGGGACAATCTGCTAGCCATCATTCCTGGAGGATCTTCGACACCGCTCATTCCTAAACAGTATGTATTGTTTACTATTCTTGCTATATTGAGGGCGTACAAAAACGAACCGCTCAATATCTCATCACGTCACCTTGGGGCCTAATGTCCCCCAGGTCTTGGCAAATAGATGTAATTCCACGAATTTTGAGGTCAGTTTTTTTAAACTATCTGGCTTATGAATCAGATGTTTTTGACATTGACCGCTATTCTAGCAAGTCATCGATATAACAAATAAATGGACGACGGGTCTAATACAAAAACCACGAAAAAAATGTCCCAAGTCAACCTATTTAAACGTAGTGACATGTAAAGGAATATGAAAAAGCTAAACCGTTGAATTTAAATTGTAATGTCATCGCAGTACTGTCTAATTTTGCTTGCTTCGCTGTCAGTCGAACAAACGAAGACTAAAGCGTGAATGACGCTCTGTATACGATTTTAACGCCCTATAAGTTCGGACACTTTTTAGTGCGGACCCGACGTCCATATAATTGTAAGTCAATGGATATGATAGAAAAAAGTTGTTTTAAATTCACTTTTAATTTTTGTATTTGAACAGTGTCTGCGACACCGTCCTAATGGATTTCGACGCTTTGGTAGCAGCGAACACTTCCTTCGGCACAGCGGCTATCATAGTGATGGACAAGTCAACCGACATTGTGAAAGCCATCGCACGCTTGCTAGAGTTCTACAAACACGAATCCTGCGGTCAGTGCACGCCTTGTCGCGAAGGCGTGTCATGGATGAACGAGATTGTTCACAGGTAACTAGCACATTTGTTTTAGTATTGTTTGATTTTTACAGTCTTAATTAGCGCCAGTAAGTCACAGCATATGGTTCTAGTTCACTTTTTTTTATTGACCAAAATACAGGAAAAAATACTTATTGTGACGACTGATGTTACGAATCAATAATTATGGACCGCGCTATATTCCAAAGAACAGTCGCAAGGCGGCTATTTTCAATATGTTCCAACGACTTGGAAAGTAGATCGCGGCCGGAACTAAAAAAGTGGTGTCCGCTTTATTAGAGAAGCTGACTGGACATCACAAAAAACTTGAAGGAGATAGACAATAATATTTTAGCTCTGTGGTTGGTTATGGAGGATAGTGGCTACGGAGGCCGACGTAGACAGCGTGGATGCCTTTGAGAGAAGGTGGGAAAATGTAGTTACGTTTTACGAACTTTTCCCGAATGGGTTCAAACGAAACTTCTTTTGAAATTCAGGAAACTAAAAATTATAAATTTAGCCCTTCAGTTTAGTATCTACAACTTGTGGCATGTATTCATATAGTCCCTAAAAATCCCAGTTATTTAGACTACTTTTTCTCTATCATTAATTTAGAGCGTCAATTTTGCTTGCAGTGGCGGATTTGCAGTCTTGACCGCCCTAGGCCCCAGCCCATGTAGTCAGTACGAACCGCCCCTTTCTTAGCACTCATCATATACTAGTAGACTACCTAATGAATTTCACTGTCACTCTGCCTATTGGTGGAAACCGCATCAAAATCCGTTTAGTAGTTTTTGTGTTTATCGCGATCAGCCAGACAGACGCGGTAGTGATAATCTGTAGCGATGTAGAGACATTACATTATATATAATGTAACATATCTATGTTTTATACATAAAATGTATGAAAGTGATTTAGGAAGATTATTGTTATACGATGCGGTGCTGTACGGCCCGCCGTAATGTACGTGAGCCTATGGAATATTTAGCAAATCCGCCACTGGTGGCTTGCACATCGGTTTCATGGTGTCGCCATCTCTAAGGTCCCGGGTTCGATCCCTGGCCTGGTAGTGTAGAAACTAACTTTTCTATATTTATCGGGTCTGGGTGTTTGTGGTACTGTCGTTGTTTAAGATTTCCATAACACAAGGGCTTTAGCTACTTACTTTGGGATCAAAGCAACGTATGCGATGTTCGTCACAAGGACCAACAAAATTTTTTTAATTCAATATTATATGTGAACGCTATAAGCATAAAATCAGTGATCGTAAACATTTTTCTACAGAAGAAATTACAGTAAAGGAACGTCATGAGAATTGATGACAAATAACACGATAATACAAAGATATGTGTTTTGTTTAGTGTTTCGAACATCTGTTTCTTTAAGCTTTTTATAATGCAAATTCTAGACATATTTAATATTTAGTGAATACTAACTATGTATGAGTAAAAAAAGGTAATAATTACATTAAAAAAAAATTGTTTTACGGTATTTGTTAAATTGCTTTGCTTATAAAATGGCCCAAAAATTTCCTTTCGTCTAATGCTAAAAGTAACAAAGTATAGCAACTGTCAATACTTACCACGAGTATAATAAATGTTGTCGCTAGCTAGATCGCGTAAAAAACCAATAGCGCCTCTGGTGGTCACAAGAAGTAACATTTTGTATACAAATATTTTACACGGTCACTAGCGACTGTTATCATTATAAACTCATGATAAAGGTACTGTAAATTCATTAAAAAAGCCTGTTTAGAAGTAACGTGGGTATCACAAGTTATGTTCTGTCCATTATTCTCACTTTAGTGATGCAAGAAACTAGTTGATGCGGAACCCTAAGGGTATAAAATACGTCTTTCGCGTCGCTTCGGCACGAATAGGGCGAAACTATTTTGTTTTCATCCTTATTGCAACGGGCATAAAGGTGATTTACTAACCGGCATTATGTCGGTTGGCGTCCAGTTAGTTTTTTTGGAATCTTTTATTTTTGTAACTAATTTGCAAAATAGTTCAGTTTTTATTTTCTTTTTATTTTATTTTTCAGATTCATCGATGGTGACGCGTCGACGAAAGAGATCGACATGCTATGGGAGATTTCTAAACAGATTGAAGGTCAGTTTAAGCTTGCGCCAGCGCATGAACAATCGCCATGTTTAAACTATCGTAGTATATATGTATGTATACATACTCTTAGATAGTCGCTATTCTTGAATGGATTTTTGACCTTTACGTGTCATAAAAAGCGCCTGGAATTGAAATTATGTCTTTGTTCTATAATCTGTTTTGTCGCAACCGATTTGAGCATTGAAGAAATTAAAAATTTAAACACAATAAAGGTCTGTGTTAATACAACAAATGATGTCATGCATAATATATAAAAATACAATATGATAAAACTCAAAATATACAAAAGTGGCAAGTAAAAAGTGATATTAACTAAATTAGACTGCCGCCATAATTTTTCAAATTTTTACCGAATACCGAATACCAGAGATTTTTATATATGCGGCCAAAAATTTAATCCAAAAATGATGGTTTTCACTTGTGATGTGTTCTGTAACTCTGAATCGAAATTTCTGACATCGGCTGGTTACTACTTGGAGACGGTCAGCACCCGAAGATCGATCGATTTTCAGCAGCTTGCTTTTGGGCGGACCTAACCCTATATTGACTATGGCTTACATGTTTATTTATGTTAGTGTTAGTTGTATAATGTGAATAAATGAATAAAAATGTTGATGTGTGCTATGTAACTGGTGAAAAATTCTTACATACCCGCTATATTTCGCTTAAAGTGTCACTAAGTAGACAGTAAGCGGTAATAGGTATAGTACATTGTCTTCATGTATTAGGTAGATGTACATGTGCTATGAATAGAGCATGCTAACAAAATAAACATGTTTGAAATTTCACAGCTGATTCGTCTCATAACGCTGAGCAAATGTTCCCAAAAAAGAACCGTTATACAGTTCGCAAAATGTTTACTTTCCATACAAAACAAACTGCCACTGGTGAAATTTGTATGGTGAATGTAAAAAAATCGCGAATTGGATATAAGTTTTTGTACGATAAACTTATCGATAAGTTTATCGTAAAAAACTCATATAATTCGCCATTTTTTCTTAGTTCAGTTTCATAGTTCTTTAGTCTTATGAAATTTCATGTGTACTTATTTTAACAGACTGTATGAGTAAAGTTAAAAATCAAGAAGCCAGGGTGTAAATTTGTAATCATGCAAACGTAACTACCGCGTTTGCGATAAATTTTTTATTTAGATCTTAATTATATAAGCACAAAGTTAAAATTAAAATCTTAACGCAAACGCGATAGTTTACATATTTGAAACTAAGGCCCCTGTAATGTGTGGGATGCGCATAATGAATTTAAAAAAATATTTTTTACAGGTCACACAATTTGCGCCTTAGGCGATGGCGCAGCGTGGCCCATCCAGGGTCTCATTAGACATTTTAGACCAGAACTTGAAAGGCGTATGCACGAATTCGCGGCGACATGTGGCCCCAGCAAGGCTGAGCGTCTTTACTAACCACCACGCTTATACCGTGAAGTTTTGCCCTCGAAGATTACCTACTGAATATAACTTATATTGTAAAAATTGTAGATTCAAGTTAAAAATTTCTTTGTGTTTTTGTGAGTCTTGTTATAAATAAAATTAGTTTTTAATAAATTGTAATAATTTATTATTTGTATTTTGTGGAATTCATTGGGACCTGCGTAATATGTCTGCCTTTCTTGTCATAACTAACTCACTTGCATATTGGTAACTTTCGATGTATTGGCACCTAGTTTTTTTTTAAATGTCAGTTACGCTGATTTTAATCTACAATAAAATTGAAAAAAAAAGAAGCGCTTATATGGGGTTGTAGATCTGATTTCGTTGATTCCAGGTATGTCGACAACTCAATAAAATCAAATATCTGTCTCTGTGGCCAAACGGTTACCATCCTGGACTGCCACTGAGGTCCCGGGCCGAGAGAAATATTTGTGTATCCTAGATTTATTTCTCTTCTGGTTAGGCTGCGATAGTGCGGGGTTATGAGTGTGTGCGTAATTTATTTATTAATTTCAATTTCGCTAAAAATGTTGATTACGTTAGTTATGATCAGGAGATTTACTATACTAATAGGTATAACATATAAAGGTATAATATACTAGTAGGTATAAAATCTGTGGCTCTAGTGCAAAGGAGTACAAGTTTAAAAAGTCTAACGGTACAAGGAGATGCGAAAAACTATCGAAGTTTAATATGATATTAAGCGTTAGGTGCTTTTCACGTTTCCTTGTAAGGTTGACTTTTTTTACTTGTACCCCTTTTCAAATTTTGGCGGAAATAATTTATTTCGTGAATATCAACAATTCTGGATCGGACCACTTTTGTAATTGAAGTCCATTCATGCTAGGGAAACTATATGTACATATGTACTCAAATATGTTAAACTGTATTTGAAAGCAGTGTACGTTTTAACAAGTTATTGACAATATAGAAATTGGTTCCTCGTGAACTCTTAGAAACAGAGAATTCCACGCAAGTCTTAGAAACAGAGAATTAATTCCACGCAAGTCGAGTTGTGCAGATATTTATAGCCGAAAGCCGAAATTAGTATTTATGTAGAAGTCATTATGTATCACAAAAACACATTTTTCTTTAACTTGCATTCGTGACTTTATGAACTCATTGTAATTAATTAATGCAGTAATAATTCTTCTGATTTTCTATTACTTTACTTGTTTTTTTTAAAGACCATGTTATACCATTTTTTGTTTAACTGGAAATCACGGGTGATCACTCGATCAGCAATAAGATAGTTAATTTTGTAAAATATTGTATGTACGTTATAGAAATAAATATTTGGGAAATTAATATGGTTGTATAATTTTAGTTTGCAATATAATTTTATAGTTTGCAAACAATTTATTTATATTACTGGTGTACCTCTACTGTGGTATTTCTGCTTTCGATTGTGAACTGTATGGATGCTCAATAAGATCTAAATTGTCCATTGAATGAAGATTAATGCGCATATTTATCTTTATTAGTAATTATGTGCAAGTTCGAAGTGTTCGTATGTGTATGGACTGCACCTAGACATTATTTCTCAAGAAGTTTTGTTGTTAAATAAAAAACCGATCTCAAAAGTTATACATGTCCTTTTTTTGAAGTCGGTTAAAAAGAGACTACAGTTTAACCTTCAAGTAGTTGTAATAAAAATCGAGCATATTTTCTTCTAAGTATTTATTCCCTCTTATCATCTTTCTTTTTTTGATATTCCTTATTATATCTTAGCTGTATTTACAGTTTGTATAAATTAAAGTATTAAAAGTATTTTTACATAGACTACTATTGTACAAACGCGCTTTCTTCAGTTTGAAAGACTTGACTACATCAACATTACACTTACAATGTTGGAAAAATGAACAAAATAAGCAAAAAAAAATGAAAAAATTAATTGAAATAAAAAAAAACTAAGATTTAACAATTTAGACATGGTAACATTTCAGATTTTTCGATTTGGAACAAATTATTATAAAAACTAAAAAGGAAATTGATCTCAAATGTACAAATCAAATAAAACTCAACACCAAGTACCAAACGGAGAAATAATTTTGATTAAGGAAGAAGAGTGCCGCCTTCACGCGTCATGATATCACTATAACAACAATAAATTAGCATTAAATTAAATGGCACAGACCAAATTCTACGACCACTCGCGGTACATGGTGATGCGAATATATTTTATTAATATAATTTTGGTACGATAACAATAATAATTTCACTTGCAGATTTGCCGAATAATTCCGATTTAATATAACCAAACAATATAATCAAAATACATAACTCTAAGATGGAAGCAACTGTTCGTTGTGCAACAAAAGATTCTTACTTCTGCGTAACAACATAATGGCATTCAAGTAATCGCTAAATAACATCGGTGGAGATCACAATTACACGATAAACTTTAATTTTATATAAATACAAAATATACATAGGTAATTTACCTAAAACTACAGCAACAACTTCAATGCAATATATCCATCTATATTGATGTGAAATTGATATGATTACATTACTCTCGTCAGGAAATAACGTAATAGTTAACAGAATGCTTTATGTATAAATAATTCACCCAAACGAGGAATGGGAAACGGACGATGAAATAAATTTATGTACGTCACGTGGACATTTAGAAATTTGTTTCCGCGTCTGTCGGTCCCGCGTCGCGTCACACCATAGATGGATCTGTCGCTATCGTCTCCGGTAGATCACAAGAAAGCGATATCAGTCTCACTTATTCTGTCATTACGAACGTTACGACTACCACAGCTCGTAAAAGCCGGAACGAAATAGTGCTATATAAAAGCCGCATAAACTAAACTGACGTTGCATCGCTCCGGAGAGCGCTCCTGCAGGGCGACGTATGCGATTCTTATTGCCGCTAGGTTCGAGCTTCTACTTCATAAATAAGTCGCGCGGCCGAGGCGCGGGCCAGCCGGCTCGGCCGCTCGATCCCGCTTCGGGTCCTAATCACTAAAGTAAAATCTCTACTGAGACCTTTATTTGGCTCGGGTACTATCTACTGAAACGCGAGAATACGCGGGGCGGAGGTCCTCGGAACGGACCGCCGCGGCGAGCGCGACCGCAAGCTTGCAGAACAAGTAGGCCGGAAACGTTTAAATAAATTCATATAAATTAGGAATCACATCGCCGCGGCGCCAGCGCCGGCGGCGGGGCTGCTCGTCGCGGCGGGCGGCCTACACGCAGTCCAGCTCCATGTCGATGTCGGGCACCAGGCGGTCGTGCGACGCCTGCGCGCGCGGCGGCAGCTCGTTGCGCGGGTCGCGCGCCAGCCAGGGGTGGCGCAGCACGTCGCGCGCCGACAGCCGCTCGCACGCCTCGCGCCGCAGCAGCGACCGGATCAGGCACTTGCCCCGCGACGACAGGCACTCCGGCACCACGAAGTAGCCGCGCGAGATCTTCGCGAACAGCGACGCGTGCTCAGAGTCGTTGAACGGGTATCTGAGGACACAGGACGCGGTCAGTGCGCGACTGGGAAACAGAAACTGCAGCAAAAAGTTCAACGGATAGGCCCGCACAAATTGTTAAGTTTTTACAGGGCGCGATCCCTATTAATGACGGATCCGACTGTCATTCGGAGGCGCAGATGCGCGCCAAAACAAAAACTCAGGTACAGTGGAACCCTTCCGGCGACAGGTGAAGGCGGCCGATTGCGGCGAAATCCCGAGTTTCGAATATAAATTACGCGGCGAGGGACCGAAAAAGGTAGAAAACAAAGGATCGCAAACGGCAGGTGCTCGAGTGGAAGGCTCCCTGAGGGGGCGGGAGCGGGGTAGCAACGTCTTCGCCACATGACCGTGGCAGGTGCGGTGAAGATTTTCACGAGCTTCATTTATATGTGGGTGATATAATGTCTGGCCGTTGGCGCGTAACGGCCGACAGGTGATCATCCCCCGCGGTCGCCAACGGTCGCGCCACCCTCGCCTGTCGCACTGTGCGATCTCTCAAAACGGTAAATCCCACGCTAGCAGGTGACTATGAAGACGTTACACCGCTCACCCTCTTTCTCTTCACCCTATTTGCGCGCACCTAATAGCAACTAACCTAATTTTGTTTTGGAATAGGTAGTTAATTGAGGAATTTAAATTTTAAATGAGCCTTCGACTTTTTTGCTCCTATGACCATTATAATAACTATTTAACAAATAGTTATAAAATACACACCTTCCAACGAGCATGGTGTATAGGATAACTCCGAGCGACCACATGTCCGCCGCTCTTCCAGAGTAAGTCCGATGTGCCCTCAGGATCTCAGGTGAGACGTACGCTGGGCAGCCTCTCTTGTCTTGTAAGAGATCTTCTTCAGGATCGTCGAGAACAACAGCGTCTTCTAACGACTCCAATTTTAGCGTCGTTCTGAAACAAAAGAAACGAGGCTCAGTATGTATTGATTAAATGCAAGTGGGCACGCTCGTTGCATATTCATTTCGCAATTTCTGGCTCGTTAGACCTGCCGCATTGTCAGGTCAAATGCATTTGACATGCAGTGACCAGTAGTAACCCATATAAATAGCAAGCATTAAATTGCACATATAATTCACGCGCCATGGGCGCTCGTCCGTGACCAACCCTTTGTGTACAAAGCTTTGTGCGGACACTGCGTGCAATGTGCGTTAATTGGCAAGAGCATCGGAGTAAAGAGGACCGCGTGATTCTGATGCGTTGCAAAATGCATACGCAGGCCGCGCCCGCGTTTCGCTACGTATATCGTATGCAATGATAATGTCATGTAAATAATTACATAGCGCACCATAAAGCTGTTCACTGACGCAATAGGTTTTGTTTCATCACCTCGCGGGCTTTAGGCGCACCGTGCGCGACCTCGTGTTTCACAGCCGCCGCATCGTTTCGAAATGCATTAAATGCACAGTTGGAAATAGTACACCGCCGGTCGATGTATTATTGAATGTAAACTCAGATCTGGCGACATGCTAGGAAACGGGACTTTCTGCCTTTGGTTTTATGGGAACGCTTTTAGTCCGCAAATGTTTATTTAAGCTAATCCATACAAGGAGCGTGTTTGCTTCGATTTACGGCGGTCAACCGGGTCTACAGTTGCATCTGGCTAAATAAACTATGTTCGTTGAATGTTGAAAAAAACGTTTAATTTTAATGAGAAAAATAAGACCGCAATGTAATTTGCTAGTGTACTAGGTATGGAGGTGAAGGCGAGACAGGTGCACGGTGGGCGGCTCGACGCAGCAAAATTGACTCGTATTAATGCTTACAGGATATTTTTAGCTTGTTAATGATGGTCCAAAGAGGGAACGGTGAGTTAAATGAATTTCAAGAAGGGCTCCCGACCTATATTTATCTTACTATTATTTCTTAAAGATTAATTCCGCAAGAATGATTGCGAAGAAATGTGTAAGTTTCTATTACCTGCGCGTACATATTCCGAAAGTTAAGGCAATAAATATCAAGTTTGCCCAAAGCGCGGTTTCAAAACCCACAAGTTGCGGTCTCAGTCGTTTGACAAATAGTCTGCGGACGCAACACTTACTGGAATCGGCGACTGTCTTTATAAAGATTATCTCAGTCTCTGAGATAATTTCATCTGCGGCCATCTCAGGCCGCGACATGTATTAAAATAACGCAATGCGGTTGCAGCGGTAATTTAAGATGCAAGATAGACGAGGTGGCAATTTATTGTAATAATATATAAATTGATCGGATCGTGACAATATGGAGCGTTTGGCTCCTATTAAAGGTCACTCTCGTTAAGACTGTCGCAACGCAGCTGTTCGGCTATCGCATGAAACGAAATGCGTGCGCGCACAGTGGCCATTCACGAATTAGAGACTACGCATGGTCGCTAGGGTTGTTGAGTGAAGTTTTTACACGTATAGAGGTTCGTCCTGCCGATAACGAGCATGAGGTGGAGCTCGCACGTGGTGCAGCACGTGGGACGCTGCCTCTTAATCGGCATGTAGCAACGATTTACTGTGGGAACTTGTTGACGAAACGGGTGACGTCACCCCAGCAACTGCACTCCGGACCTTTTTTGTAATCCATCAGTGAGCGGAGCCGAATCCGGAGAGCGTCCTCGTATCCGTTTTAGGTCTCGACTGCGCAACTGATCCTAATTAAATCCCTACAGCAGCGGCAAGGCTAAAGTGCGATGTCTGCAGTTGCAATCGATTCGAATTTCGCAACGTGTAAATAAGTTATACGGTGTCGTAACGCGGTCGGAAGGTTGGCCGGATTTCCGAGCGTGTTCCGAGCGGTGGCCTCGAAGGATTCTCGCGGTGTCTCGGACGCGGGACAAGCGGGGAAAGGACAACGCGGCTTTACGCAACGCGCACGGCACTCGCAGAGCGGCACGCATGGCGCTCAAACCAGAGCCGCAGCCGCCGCTGCTGCCTGCCTTCCGATTAACGCGCTTCAATAAACCACACGGCCACTCTAAGTAATACTCTGATCTGAACATAGTCGTGACGTACCCGCTACTCAAACACCGCATTACTAAATTGACTCACGTTCACAACTTCGCAACTTCGTTAACTAATATTATTTCGTTAACGTTATACGTCTGTAAGTGAGCAATGGTAACTTAATATCAACTAGAATTGGATGAAGTTAATTCTTTTTAAATTTGTTTCGTAATGTCGCCGCCAAAATCATTGTTGTACTACTATCTATTGGGTATTCTATAATCACGGTCGGTTTGCCGATCAAAATGCTGTCTATAAGTAAAATGCATACACAACACGTGTAGGTATCAATTAGCGGGATGCTGCAGCGCGGGCGCCGTTTCGCAATTGCCGCCATTGCTCAACTCAACCCTGACAATTTCGTAACAAACAATGGTCGTCGCAGATGCAGCACACACGCATGCACTTCCTGCTTCACTTTGTATCGCCACACGACGAATACTTGCGCAACGTAGGAAACGCATCATGCGCGATGATACACTAAATTTGCTCGCTGAGATTGCGAAACATTTAACGGTCGCGTCAACTATGCGTTATTGAGGATAGGGAGAACCAGCGAATTCAGACACAGAAGATTTTATAACAGCGACATGTTTGCGATATGAAAAATTAATTTTTACTATTGGATATACATTGCCAGAGTTGTAGAATATATATTGGAGAGGGGTCAGATACGACTTTCCATTAAGTGAACCCTATAACTGTTTGCCACTTTCAATAACAACAAAAAATTCGGCGTTTATACTAACTAATATTGACGGCTTCTGAGCTCCATGGCATACAGTTAGTCATAAGTTTTCGTAACTCGCATTGTAGGGACATGTGGTGTCGCAAGCGCGTTGCCTCACTGCGAGATGCCGGGATAGGTTGGGAAACCATCCCGTGATGCCCAATTATATGTCGTATCTCATTGCGTAACAAATGGACATCGCAGCGAACGGTTTATCAAGTTCGATTGATATAATGTTCGACTAAAATGCATCGGTTAATTTCAAAATGATTGCGAATATGTCGAATGTCATTTGCTGGCTGCTTTGCGAAACTCCCTTGACATTCAATAATTCAAATATCTTAGTTCGTGTGAGAGCGGTACAATGAAAATATTAAAAACATTGTGAGGTTTGATAGCAGAGTGCTCTACATAAAATATAGGTCTCAAAACCGCATAGGCAGCAGTACAGTTCGTTTTATCGGAGTAGCGATAACGCAAGTCGAACTCAGTTTTGAAACCGGGCGCTGGGCCGCTTGCGAAAACGCTAATGTGAACATCGGTTGCAAAATTGTTTTAGCTCTATATCGAATGTAGTGACAATGGCAAAGGATCGGCAGTGCAGAGTTGCCGTGTAGCTTTAGAAGTATGCACGTAGGCGCCGAATTATGCGTCATGTTTTACTGTGACACTGTGTGAATCCGCCGTTGTCGAGGTAAGGAGATCGAGTAGCGCAACCTCGCCTGCGGCCGTATTTGGCAGGCGGCCGGCGTCCGCGCATAGGCTGTGTGTCACAATGGCGTGGATTATGAGCCGTTGCGATATGGCAGCATGTTGCAAGTTCGGGCGGCGGTCCAACGGCGCCGCCGAAATAATCCCGTGTTGCAACGCGCGGACCGCGGAACGAGCGCCACTCCAGGCCGGTCAGCTCAGCGGAGCCCTACCCGTTACGCAAACAACAGTGCACGCAATCGGCCAATTGCGCACGTCGCGATCGCTCCCCGACGCAAGTTGCGACGTTTACGAAACGAAGCGTACCGTTCGACGACCCCGTCTATTACGCGAGAATTGCGTAATGAAGAAAGCGTCCAGAATGCGTCCGCAAAAAGTAAATCCGAAATCTCATTGATCTCCGTCTCGAATCATTGCAATTACACCGTTACGTAGAGTGTTAAATCCGGTGAGCGGTCGACTTTCTAACGCGGGGTCGGTGTACGAGGCGGCGGAGTGTCGCAACAATTTCTCCGGCGTCGCGAACGAAGAAAGCGCGACCTCCGGAGCATTTTGCAATCGCACGCTGGCGCAGCGGAGAAAGAGCGCCGCATAGAAAGCGTACGTCGACCTGCCGGCCTGTAGCGACGGCGTCACCCGCAGGGGGCTGGCAATCAGCGAAACCGCAGGGCGGCTTGCAACAGATGCGTTAACAAGATTCCTGTACCTCCTGAGCGACCGCAGAGGCACGAGTTTAGCATAAGCAGCGTTCTGCGTGTGCCGGGATTGGGCAAGTGGGCCCAGTAGTGCACATTGCGCAAGCAATGATAAACGTGCGACCGCTTGTCACTGGCACTCGTGAAATACTTCCGTTCATTGACTCCATCCCGATATAACTGCGCTCTACCGTTCATGTCCGTTTCGAAATGCTTTCGTCGAGCGGCGATATGTCACACGTGTGTCGGCACTGGGTCGCGCAAGCAAAAAGCCACCATTGACATCTCTACCCTTGATCTTTAAGAGCCATTTAATAGTCACGCCCGATGAGCTCGATAAAAAATCGGCGCCGTAGGTCCCATTGCACACAGAAATGTCGCAATGCGTAACAACTGACGTAACTATCTAATTTGTAACTAGGAGTTTTGTCGTGCAGGATATTACAGTGGAATCGGCGGGTAACTAGCTCACTGGCACGTTTACTTACGTACATATATTTTCATAACACGTTGTTACGTTTTTAACCGACTTTACCAAGTGTTGAGAAATATACGGGTAAAAAGCTGGAGCTCCCACGTCGATGATGAGTAATCATCATTGTTATGTGAACACGCAGAAAAAATACTCGTAAGGCAATCAGTGATTAGAACGAAGACAGCTTTCACGTCAACGGTGGCACGCAACGAAGACAATTAATTCTTGTATTTTTAGTTAAGCGTTGTAAGCATCTAACGAATCTATTAATGTTGATGGATACCTACACGCGGCAGCCCACCTGGCGACAG